GCAAATTTCAGCTCGGAACCACAGAAGCTAGGAAGCTGAAAATTTAGGGGAACGTGCCCCACTTATGTGTGACTCCCTCTCCCAGCCTCACCGTACCCGCGGGTAACACGTACGGCCCCCTAAAAGTTTGGGTGGGCAAAACTGTTATCACGGGAACCACGTAAGCTAGAAGACTGCAATTTTGTGGGCAGGTCCTCGCTCATGTGCTACACAGAAAATTTAAATCCAGATTCCTTCTGCCTGTGGGTAGTACGTATGGCCCCGTGAAACTTTTTGACAGATAAACTATTATCTCGGGAAAAATGGAGTCTAGGAAGCTGAAATTTTAGGTTAATGATCCTCTGCCCACGCTCAATCTTGCCCATTCAAATTCAGCGTTCCCGCGCTCTTGAGTGTCACATACGGCCTCGTGAAAATTTTGGCGGGTGAACTATTATCTCGGGAATCACGGAACGATATTCGCCCTTCAAGGTTTCAAATTCAGCTTTCATGCGCTGGCGCGTGAAATTTTTAACTATTTTTGAACGTCTCAACTATTTTTGCATGAACTGAAGTACAAAGCAGTGAAAATCATTGATAGGCAAACGTTCGATAGGCTGAATTCAGCACAAAACGCATGATCGCACCAGCTAGTCTGCTGCGCGTTGCTCTTTATTTTTTAGTGCATCGAGTGAATTTAAATCCGCTGTTGCCGGGAAATCAAAATACTTCGGGTAAGAGTCACTTTCCTGATTTTTTGTTTCCTAACTCATACGCATAATTTTGAGAAATGCAAGTCTGTCAAGAAATCGGACTACTTTAACCTGTTGCTTTAAAATGGGTCACAGTTGAATACTCTGCTTCGTCACTATTTAAAAAAAAATTCCAAGTAAAAAAGATTTAAAAATATGTAGGAACATATGCTTACCATCACTAACTTCCTCCTCCATCAGATCCGACATTTGGTACAGTTTGTCTGAAAAAACACCAGATAAAAATCTCAAACGCTGTTTCAAAAAACAAAAAAAGGACTGAAAAATAATTGGCCAACGCACGGGCTGCCCGTTCGAAGGTTTGTTTTTTGCATGGTTCCCCGCAGTTATTGTTGCTACCGGCACCGGTTTTTTCGGCAAATGCTTCTAGCTAAACAAAT